AAAACGTTTGTTAATACCCCAAAGGTTATAGTAAGAATCCCATAAATAATTGTATGACCCGATCTACCAATTTTTCAAAAATACTTTCTAGATACCAGTGACATTAACTATAGTTATTAAATGTGTTCTCTGTAATTTCTTATACTTCTACATTTTTATGTTTATGCAGGAACTGTATAATTTAAATAATTTAATTATAGTCTGGGTTTGGGTGCTGTATAGACATTGTTAAATCAGATAGCATTACTAAATATCTTAACAGGAATATATAAATGTACAAAAGAAACTAATGATATATATTTGGAGCCAAATCAGGAGAAAGAAACTTGGTATAACAAAATTAAAATCCCAAACAATGAAGCTTAATGAATTCATGGTCTCTTTTTCACTGTCTCCTGATCATTTGCTTTTAGGATACCCAATGTAGTCTTAGTCATAATGATAATTTCTGTGATCAGAGTAAATAAAATTGCTTTTGAAAAGAGCAGCCCAGTTATTAAATAACAATATGAAGATACACTATGTAAACCTTCAGTTGAATTAATTTCATGCTTTGTGTATAAAATGAATTGCTGTGCAGGAGACTACTATAATTTCAGAGATGGCAAAAGACCCCAATATAACCATCTAAGTTTGCCAAGATGTGTCAGTAAAGTGACTAGAAAGTTTTGGAGCCGTGAAGAACTAGCAAGCAGATTCATGTCCTTCTCTCTATATGTCTTTTTTAAAATCAAGATTGCAATTTCTAAAGAATTTGTCTAAAATTTCTAAAGAATTTTATATCTACCTAAAATCTCATAAGCAGATTTTAGGAAGATACTGAATTTAACAGTCCCTCCTTGCAAACAAATTCTCCTTTAACATTTATTATGGAAGCATATGAATTTAAAACTGTCAGCACTTGAATGCCTATTTTTGATAATTCCCAAAGTTAAATTAATATTTAAAGGTCAGTATTCTGAATTTCTACCAAGGCTTCTCAAATTGAGATCCAATCCATGTTATATAAATGAACAATACTTATTTATACTAGGCTAAATTTGTACAAAGTTACTTATTTCAATGTATAATTCTGTATTGCCATATTTTATTTTTTTTCATGAATCATACTAACAAGAAAAAGATAAAGATGCAGGCAAATACATGTAGCCCTCCAACATATTTTCTGAGGTCCTTGATGCACATTTTCAATGTAATGGGAGAAATGTTTGGGGATTTGGTTTGATTTTTCCAAGATTTCACAGGTTGTGATTTTTGTGGAGCAAAATGGGAGCTTTAAATCTTACAAAAGCTAAAGACCCTTAATGTCTCCTCATGGCCCTGGTTCTTCAATTTTTGTGGGTTGTAAGGGGCTAAAGCATACATTTTACCCTTTAAAACCTCTTAAAATGGACATGTAGCTGCATTCCTCTGTGGAATCATAATGTCACAACCTACACCTTCTGAGAAACTGGGGATTCCAGAAAAAATGTTGAAGTATGACCCACAACTACAAAAAGAATTCCCCTACCCTACATGGTAAAAGTAGATCCAGTGGGCAGAAAAATAATACACCCTCTCCTGGTTTACTGAGTGCATTCCGGTCCAACGACTTGGTCGTTAAGCAAAATGGTTGCTAAGTGAACATGTGACAGAAAGAGAGGATGCTGTGAAGATCACTAGTTGCTGCTTTCTCATTCAGATAAAGTTCTCTGGTACAGTGTCCTGTGCCTGACCCTTTCTTTGTCTCCCCTTTTTTTACCTCCTTGCAGGATGGAGAGATTCCTTAAACTGTTCCTGAGCTGCTTTTCTCCACAGCACTGAAAAGTGCTAACTCCAAGTTAACAAGCTCAGCTCTGTGGCCTTAATTAGTTGATCAGAACCCTCCTGCCAGCTTCACTGCTGCCTGAAACTGACCAACCTTAATCAGTTTCACACTGAAGGCTTTTGTTGTTAGGCACTAGAAAGTTGGTTGTAAATGTGCACATTGACCAGAAAATGAATTTTTAATTACCTTTTATTACCATCGTATTAGTGAATGGTCACTAACCAAGGTAGTTACTAAATACGGAGTGGCTGTAAATTTTAAAAAATGGAGCCATAAATTAGTCAGATTCTGGATGCTACATTTTTGGAATACTGTGAAAGCCTGTTCAATGTATAATAAAAGATAAAAAACAAAGAGAGCCAGTCTGGTGTAGTGGTTAAGGCATTAGACTAGAAATTGGGAGTTAGTGAATTCTAGTCCTGACTGGGCCAGTCACTCTCTCTTAGCCCTGGGAAACAGGCAGTGGCAATCCACTTCCTAAAATTCTGCCAAGAAAACTGTAAGAACTAGTCCAGGCCGTTGCCAAGAACAAAGACTGAACTGAATGTGCACATGCACATGCGCGCGTGCACACTCACACAAAGAGTAACTCATAGGGAGTGAAGATTTTTACCATAGGCATCGTGTGATCCTTCATCTTGTACCAGCCAGCAATCTGGCTACTGTGTTTTTAAAAAATTGCAATCTCTACAATTCTTCCCCTGCAAAGTATGTTGCAATACTCACAAGATGTAACAAAAGCATGGATGACACTAATTCCCTACAGTATTAGTGAAGTCAGTGGAAGGGTCACAGTTGGTGCATATCCTTAATTGTGCAGATATACTCCTTGCCACAACCACCATCTGCAAATCCAGTGATTGATCAGGCTACTGCCTGAGCTCTGTGAGAGGGGTGAAGTCACATAGGGGCGACAGTGTCAACTGAACACTTGAATTTGAATGGCTTGATGTCAATTCACACCCTAAAAATAAGGCTTCTTAACCTTAAGCCAGAATCCCCCAATTTCTGCTTAAGAGAGCATTTAGGGGTTATAAAATCAGGATTGTCATGCTGCAGCACATGCATTACAGAACATGGAGGAAGAGTAAGGAGACATTTATTCACATTACAGTATAATAAATTGTGACTTGTGGGGCTTTAAATGATTGTCTGAAGCAGGTCAGTGTTTTAGAGCTTCAGAAATCAGTTCTTATTACAATGATTTGTGTACAGACTTTGTAGTAAAACTAGCTCCTTACCAAAATATTTCTGGTTAGTGCAGTCGTGTTAGCTAAAAGTGAAGGCTTCTCCTCTTTACAGCTGAAGTTTCTTTCAGTAGGAGAACACCAGTTGTGTATTTTAATGTTACATTCTCCCTTCATGGCTTGCAGATACCCCAAACTTACTTTTGAATATTTTCAGGTAATGTTACTGTTAGTTAATTCAGACACTTATGTCTGAAGGCTTAAATATTTTTAAGTGTGTCTGGAAAAAAAAAACTGCTGTTGTCAAATACTATAAAGCTTCGAAATCAATGAGTTCTTATCATGATTTTAGCCCCAATGGGTCCTTAACCATTTTATTGATAAATTACAGTATTAGCGAAGTGGTATAAGGAATGTTTTATGCTGAAAACCATTAAGCATACTTGATTAACATTCAGAAATATATAAGAGGGGTTTTTTTTTTTTGCTTTCTAGCTAGTGTTAAAAATTGTTTCATAAATTGTTTCATAAATGTAACAGTATTTGCTATATGTATAAACAAATAATCTCCCATATAAAGCCATATATATCTTAGAACTTGGATAGCTGATAAAGTGCTTGCATCATACATGTTGCTCATCAATTAAGGCCTAGTGCCTCTTGACAGTCGTGCATGTGTCCCTCTCATACACAGTGACCCAAGAAGGGGCATTGTAAGTACCAACCGTGTGGTCATAGAGGGCCTCCAAGTTCAATTAGAGTTGCTTT